AACTGCCCCGTAGCGGGGAGTGCGGCGGGTTGGTTGTGCGTCACGCAAAAAGCTGCCTCGCTTTAAGCGTCCTACTTGGGAGTCTGACTTGCCGTTTTGCTGTCATTCAGAAACGAGGAGCAGCGGGCGTGCTGAAAGCACTCGCTACGAAAGCAGCTGGGTGCATATCAGCACCTTTGTCGTTCCTGATGCCTTCACTTGGTGTCTATAATTGGGGTATTGACCCCTTTCTCCTGCTAGTTCACTGCTGACAGAGGTGTCATCAGCTGACAGCTTGTTTGGCAAGGGATTCTCAGAGGCTTAATATCTAGCAATTGCATAGAGGGGTTACCTAAACAAAAATGGAGAAATAGCCAAAATGAATTTAGTCAGTTTTTTCTCTCCTGTCTTTTCTCTCCTGTCTTTTTCGAAATCTCCTTTTCCTGTTTTTTTCAACTTAGCTTATGTCTTTGCACAAGGGAATGTTGTGAGAAGCAGCTAAATAGCATAATTTTGCCCCTTGCATCTTTTTACAGAAAGTGCATGTGCTGCCACAAACTGTGCTCTATATAGCAGATGCGGAAACATTCAGCGGACATGAGGAGTGTCACGAACAAAAGAAAGGTAACTGTTAAACTGACTTATTCCTGCTTCAAGAAGTACTTGTAATAGAAGTACAATATGTGAAGGGAAAGTCAGCTTAAATTGAATTCTCTGTGTTTAAATTGCAAAGGAAAGTAAGTCTTTTGCAAAAAAAAAAAATGCAATCCCATAGATCAGCATTTCTGTTATGAAGCACAGGCCACACAAATGTGCACTGTTTTACATAGATTTGCATTACACAGAGGAAGGTACAGTGATTTACTTTCTCATCCTGTTCAGGATGTTGATTTTGCTCTGTATACCCATAGCGGTGCATTCCTACAGATAGTACAGGTTTGCCATGTTAACTGGGCAGCTGTTGATTGGCAGCATTGTTTAAATAGGATGCAATTAACTGCAAGGCTTGTCCATTAGTGCTCAGAAAAACTCACCTTTACTTCTCTGTGCCTTCTTTTTTTCTTCTTTTTTAACAGCAAGAAAAAGAAACAGTAAAGAAACCGCAATTGAGCTGGAAAAATTGTTGCCAAAGCGATGCCAAGTTCTTGGACTGGTCACCCCAGGGATTGTAGGTAGGACGAAAATGTGTGATGTGATGAGAGATCAGCCTAAAGGTGTTTAGTATATCACAGGTCTTTTCAGACTCTTCTTTATCACAACTCCATGTGTTTTTGAAAGCATAGTCCTGCAGACTGAATAGAGTGTTCTCACAGATTATTGCCATGTACTGCTCTCACCTTGTTCAGTCCTAGCTTCAATTTTAAGGAGCTCACACTGTTGCTGCTAAAGCATGCGTATGCCTTAAATTTTTACTTCATGTGGTACAGTTGTCATTGAAAAGGTCGATTTAATTTGCGGGGAGGGGGTAGATATTGCAGGGATTTCAGAGATACTGTAAAGCCATTGGGAATTGAATGTGAAAGCCAATGAACGGGTTTATTCAGAAGACGCTTGGTGAGCCTGACAGTTATAGCAGACTTTGCCAAAGTCAAATGCAACTTCATCATTCCCAGGCAAACAAAATGATGGCATTTCTGTTTGCATTGTGATTGTGCTGGCCAGAGACACAGTTACTATGCCTGCTTCTAAATTTTTATTAGTTGGTACCTTAAGGTAATTACATTATATTTCTTGGATGTGTATATATTTTTTAAAGTTACAATGTGAAGAGTCGTACAAGAAGGTCACAGAAGGTGAGGTTCTCAGTGTGTATCCACTTAGTTTGGAATAGCAAGAAGCATAAATAGTGACTATGGAAAATTCACAGCTTCCCTTGGAGGTGTTTTTCCAGTACTTCGTTTGTGTATCACTAGAAACTTTTTTCCTAATTTCTTACCTTAATTTCTCTTCCTACAGTGTAAGAAATTTTCCTGTTCACTGTGAGCATGGAAGACAGTTTACACCCTGCATCTGGGCACCAACTTGTTATGTATCAAAACTTGTTGTAGTTTTCTGCTTAGTATATTTGCTTTTAGGCTATCTGTCTCTATGACTGGAGTCTTTAAGAGTCTTGACATACTTGTATCAGGATGAAACACGAGTAACTTGGGCCTCTGATGTGAAGGCGCGTGGGGGTGTAGACAATTTCTTGAGGCCACTTCCAGCTGTAGCTGCTGTTCCAGCTGATTCTACTCCCACTAGAGGCTGTTCGTGTACTTCTATATCCAAATGGTTGACGATTTCTGATTTTTTTAGGGTTAGCTTATTTGCAAGTAGATTATCTCTGTGTTCTTCTATCAACACTATCCTTTAGCTTTCTTAGTTCTTTTCTTCCTTGTTTTTCCTTCTGATGTACTTACAAAGTGTAACCATCACAGCCTCTAGTCTGCTCAGACAAACCACCTGCTTCTAGTTTCTTCAAAAGAAAGGTTTTACGTTCTTTTAGTCCTGGCGGCTTGTCTCTGGACCGTGGGTGCAGAGAATATACCTGGTACCTGCTGTAGTTTGCATTAAGACTCGCCAGTGTTTTGTCGAGCTGCATCAGCTCTTCCTTGTCTCTGGCATTACTTCTCCGATGCACTTTTTTTCCTCACGTTGGTGGCTCAGTTCTCCTAAGATGAAATGGCATTGGAAGGCTCTTCAGTGTTTACAAGGGAGGGCACCCATCATATAGCTCAAATCTAAGTCCCCAGTCACTTGAACCGGTGCTTTGAAGCAGTGTGCTCTGTCACATTTATGCTCCTCCAGTCCCCAGGGTTGCCCACGCAGTGTCCTAATACTTCTTTGTCTTGGTGGTGGTGTTTGATTGTTACTGGTATAATTCAATAATACACTGCCAATATTTTTGTCAGCTTGCTTTCTACTGTAATCACACCCTTGTGTAACACCTTGCCCGGTTTCACTTGCAGTACTTAAAAATATTAGTGCATTTGTATATTCACGGAAGTTGGCAGGAAGGCTTGAAGCAGCTGTGTTGCACAGTGCTTGTTTTCCAACCGATTTGTGTGTGGTATGACTATGGGGAAATTTTCCATATGTGTCTGTTTCTCATTGTCCAAAAGGACTTCAGTGTAGTCTGTAGCCAGGGGAACTCTTACGTGTTTTTATCTTTCCAAAGCAGCAACAAAAAATTCCCACTGACTGTCAATTGGATATGTTGTTATGGAAGTGAACTGTCCTGTTTTACATCATCTATGCTGTTCTGCTTTTGTTTAAAGATGTCTTTTTTTGTATCTTTGTAGTTACCCCTATGGGTTCAAGCAGCAATCAACCTCAAGAAATTGAAGAAGGTGAAGCTGGCTTTGCTCTCTTGTTTCCCAAAATTGATGGGGTGAAAATCCATACCTTCCATTTTTTTAAAGACTTGAAGAACAGGGTCTTCGATGAAAGCAAATTTGCTGAAGCAGGTGTGTCCTTGTTCTCCCTTTCACCTGGGGTTTTGTGAACTGTCACACAGCTTTTTCAGGCTCCACTGTGGAACTCTGTGGCATTACCAGCTTGTGTGCTATCCCCATGCATAAAGCGCTTGGTGGCTCCATAGGGCTGCTGTTGATAATTATGCACCTCTGTTCTGCCCTTACTCTGCAGTATTAAGGTTAAGTTATCCTGAATATTGATCTCAGATTTCCTCAGCTAGGTTCCAAGCAATCCTGCTCAGAGGAAGCTGTTGCGCTTGTGGCTATGCCATGTGGCATTTTGAGCATCTCCCTACTTTGTTAAAAATAATCATAAATAATTCTTATGCCATTGTGAATGGTTCCCATCAAGGCAGGTTAAAAACTGGAGTGGAGAAGAGCTGCTTGTTTTGTTGTTTAAAACAATTTTGCATTTAGATCCTACGTTATGTGTTGTGGCAAGGAAAGGTAGAGGGGGAGACTCTGCTCACATTGTGTACTTAGTAGGATAGCTCGTTTGTGAAGAGTAATTTGATGAGATTTTTTTGAACCTTTTTCTTCTAGGAACCTGAGAGTTTCTACCTTGGAATAAACAGCTAGCTGATGCATACAATTTTTTTAGTTGTTGAGTAAAACTATTTACTGCATTATATTTCTTGTTGAATGACACGTGCTTTGTTTTTGTATGTAAAAAGGTCAATTAAGGCTGCCAAGTAACAACCAAAAAGCCGTGCTTTTAGAGACCTTGCTAAAACTCAAATGCTCTGCTACAGAAGTTGAAAGCTGGAGGAAGCTAATGTAATCTTTTTCTCCTCACTAGATTCTTTGCAGCAGTTCTCCTGTATGTGGAGAACTGGGCCCAGCTCCTGGATGCCTGGCCAACTATCACGGCAATGGAAAGCCATTACTAAAGGCATGATGTATTACTTAAGGAGGGAGTGGAAGGGTGTAAACAGGATGCTTGGACTTTAGAGGTCAAAATCTGAAAATAAAAGGATTGATGTTTTTGTTTTTATTACTAGGTCTGAAAAATAATCCAGATCTCCGTGTGGTTCTTCTATTTGGCTATAATTCCTGGAAGTCTGGAGCTACTCGATTTCTTCATCAAATAGTCAATCCTTTGAATGAAAAAAGTATCATCCTGGCTGGGGGACAAGTGGAGAGCTTTACATCACTGACCTCTGAGAAGTAGGTATCCTTTTCAAGCTAAATTGTGAAGGAGATTTAAAACAGGAAAAACAGGTATAGTATTAGGCACAAAACCACTCTGACTAGTGAGGAGTCAAACATCCCTGAAAGTCAGAGTGCTGTTACTGAGCTTATTACTTAAAAAAAAGGAAGGGCACAAAAACACTGTAGCCGCAATAGCCTTTTAGTTATTTCATTTTGGAAATGCCTATTAACAGGCATAAAATGGTACTTTTTAAAGAGAATAAAGTGCAGCTGTTACACTGTGATCTTAGCAAGAGAAGCTGGAAGCTTTGTATGACTGTGTTACAAACTGGATTCTGGAAACTCAGCTAGGAGGACTGTGGAGGAGATCTCCAGCTGTAAATACTGCCACGTGTGTTTATTGCCGTTCATGGTTGCTCTCTGGCTTGCAAATAAATTAACACTCGTTTAGATGGAGACCGTTTATGTGAACCTTTTGGTTCCACATTTGCCTCATTTTAGTTCACATTGCAGAGCAGCAGCTGAACACGCAAACAGGATTCCTCCTGGACAAAACTGAACAGGGAGATGCCCCAGGAGCACCCTAGTGTGCTCCAGCCTGCTGCAAGGCGCTCAGTGCAGGGGAGCAGACTAGCCAAAGTCCAGGTTAAACCCCTCGCTCCTGCCAGGATCCCTGCAGGCCGATGCGGGCTCCAGGCACCACTGCTTTTCTGTGCGGGTGGAGCCCCTTGTGCCATCTGACGTGCTGTTGCCAGCCAGAGCCACCTGGGGTGTCCTGTGCTGGGAGCACAGTGTAAAGATATTCACGCGGGCCAGCTCGTGCCAGCTTAGGTCAGGACTCCACAGGAATACCATCATCTTTCATTCATCTGGAGTATACCAGCTGTGCCATTTCCAGAGCAGATCATCTCCAGAGCAGAGAACTGACCATATATTAAATTAAGGCTAATAAAGCGTAAATAGGTAACTACCAAAACCAGTGCGTCCTGGTTAACTGAGGGAACTGAAGCAACATGGATCTGAAGCCATTACTCATTGTTGCTCTGGTTTGATGTTTAAATGCTGAGCATCTTTGCTTGTCTGTAGTTCAGCTGGATTTACAGAGCTGTGACTTACATGAACCACTGAACTGGGAAGTAACTAATGGATAGGAAAGTTTTACCACTGTTTGCTGTTTATTTAAAAAAGATTTGGAGGAGTTCTCTTTCGTTTTGAACTGTGAGAGGCTTTCAAAATCACTTCAGGAGGTTGTCTGTATGGACCCCTGCGTCTGCTACAGCAGAAGTTAGTCAAGCCTGACGTGGCGTCCCTGGAAGGTTTTGTAATGCGGTGTGTGTTGCCTTTCAGTAATAACGCCCAGCCCGGCGATGCCTGCGGTGTGGTCGGACTGGCTTTCAGCGGTCCCCAGATCCAGAGTGCGACAGTTTTGTTAGACCAGGATGTAGCTGATGAGAGGACAGCAGAAGCCGCCATGCAGCGTCTCAAAGCAGCAAACATCCCTGAGCGCAACACCATTGGCTTCATGTTTGCATGTGTTGGTAGAGGATATCGGCATTATAAAACCAAAAGGAATATGGAAGCAGATGCATTTAGGAAGTTTTTTCCAAATGTTCCACTCTTTGGCTTTTTTGGACATGGGGAAATAGGGTGTGATCGAATAGTTACTGGGAATTTCGTACTGAGAGAATGTAATGACATAAAGGAGGACCTGCTTCATGGTTATACTACAGTTATGACTCTTATTCATCTTGGTTCAACTAAAGCAAACCAAGTGTAAATATTTTTAATGCATCAGTGAGCTGTTTGTTTTCATTCCAGAAAACTGAGAAGTCTGGACGAGTGGACATCTTGCAATGAAAGCACCTTCCAAAACATCTTTTTCGTAACATTATCAAATCTTGTAGTCAGAATAGAGTTTAATATAATAGCTGTGAGAAAGCTTTGCATTTTGCGTAATCCTGTATGCACACCAGAATTGCAGGTAAATTATATCGGATGGAATTTTGCAGCTGAAGAAAGCTGTTTTCTTCTAAGATGAGAAAGGCTTGCACAAATGGCAGTTGGAATCCAAATATCAACACGTAGAAATAAACAGTATTTTGATGTTCTCTATTTATCTATATAAAGCAGTCTAGAAAAACTACTGATGCACACTGAAATACGGATGCATGAAATCTACCATTTCCTGGATCTTATTTCAAGAGATGTGCAACTTGCCCAGACTTGAGTCCTATTTACAAAACTCAACTGTTTGACTAGATTAAATGAATGAAAATCTTTAGATAACAATCACAAAGTGCTCACTAAGTACAAAATTAAAATACATAAAAGTACCTTGGCTTCTGTTTTTAGAGAAGAAAAAGCTCTGATGTAAAGAGATGTTATAAACTCACTGTCTCATCATCTCAAATTGCTTTTTAATTGTCTTAAATATCTGATGTAGAAAAGTTATCTGATAATGTTTACGTAGTAGCAATTCCGGTCTTGGTCTTGGAATATTCAGCTTATGCAATGAAAATGGACTGTTCACCTTTTCTTTTCAATTCTCTTGCAATGTCGTGCTCTCTATTCATTTTTAAATCCAGAATGCTAAAAATTAAGACTGTACTTGGTGTCTTTAACTTCCTTTAAGAAGCATTTTGCTTTTTAATTTGAAATTATGGGTCATGCAGGATCTGGCCTTGTTCCATTTATATGCCAGCTCTTTAGCAAAGTTGTGCTTTTCTGTGTTTTATTTATCTCAGCCTAAGGACAAAGTTTTTTGCAGGCTTCTATGAGCTCAAGCTTTTTACACCAGTCACCTGCTTTGATTGCTGCAGCTGGAATCTAGTATTACAGAGCTCAAATGAGTAAATTCAGCATAGTCTCAGCATACCTGTAGTATAATTCCTCCCTTTTCCTTTCACTTTGTAGAGTGACAAGAAAATAAGATTCATTTTGTCCTATTTCACCACACCTCTAAATGCCAAATCAGGCAGCTGCCCTGCTTTCAGTTTAACAGAAAGAATGCTTGGCAGTATGTTGTACAGCAAAATAACTTTTATGTTACAATTTTAAATGTAACAACCAAGACTACAGTTTGTAACTTTTGTACCAATGTGGAGTTAGGACTTTTCATGGGAATTGACCTAAGTAGCTAGGGTAGAGGCAGCTTTATCTGTCCTGCTAGATCTATTAGTTTCAGTGGGAGCTGAGCGGGTGCTGAGCACAGCACGTTGCTATGGCTTTGTTGGTGATGGGCTGTGAACTGCCAGTGGCCTCCTATGAATAGGAGATTAGTGAGTCTGGGTCTGATTTGGAAAATCTGTGGTTATTGCATTTGGAAGAAAAGGTATTTAGGAATTGAGTATGTCTGAATTTTGAAAGAAGCTTCTCTGTAGGAGGTGAGTACGTTTGCTCTTTTTGGCATAACCCTAATGTCAGGTTTGGCCCTATCTCACTGCAGAGCCTTATGCTTCTAAGGGTAGGCAAAGAAAATGTTTCCTTTGTGTAATGCAGTTAGGACTACTGTAGTATGAGTTAAGTTAGCACAGCTGGTACCCTAAGCCTGCAAACCTTAACGGACGTTTTGCTGCAGTAGAAGTAGATCAAGAGTGATCAGCCATGTGTCCCAAACAACAGAAAAGCTCTAGGGTGCACCAGAAAATAGCCAAACCGTGCAAATGACTCGTTGATCATCAAGAAGCGCAAACATGTCCAGAAGCACCTGCACCAAGCAGATTGTGAGCACCAACAATAGCGACAGCAACTCAGAACACGACAGCGCAGTTTGAACAGACGACTCGCCAGCGAGGTATTCTCTACCCAGTCCTCTAGCTCAGGACACTTAATGTCGTGGTGACCGCAGTGAGAAGGAGACCGGCGGGGAACCCCACGAGCTTGCACCGGGGCCCGGGATGATGTCTCCAACCTCCGCCCCACAACCAAGCACTGCACTGCAGGAAGTGCTACGCTTAACCCCAACGTCTCTCCTGGACCCTTTCATGTGACAGAGAAGTCGTGTAATTCATAAAATTGCATATATTTGTGATTAAAATGTTTTGGTATCCCAATTAATTTAGCCTCCATGCTGTCACATGGTCTTAAACTGCAACAACTCCAGAGTGAAACTAAAATATATCTGCTTAAAAGGCAGCATGAGCCAATGCTTGTTCTTAATAGATTTTGAAGTTTTGCAGTACAGTAATTTATACCTCTGCCACTCAAAAAATTAATCATAAGTTTTTAAGATGCCAAAAAGTTAAATGAATACTCAGCAACTGAGGAAAATGTGAATAGCAGCGCTCCTTATACAACATTCAAAGACATCCCTGAAAATAATTATCTGCACAGTTAAGAGGGCTGATGGTAATATGTTCCTTGCAAGCATATATAATACCTAAGTGAGCACAACTGGATATTGTTTTGGTGAAAAAGAAAACAAACCCTTCAAAGGCACAAGACCTGCAGGAAAAAGTGTGTGTTTGGGGGGTGGGGGGAGGGGGTTACTGATAAAAGGAAAAAAAAATCTTTTTTTCTCATGAGTTGAATATGAATAATGTTTTGTGGAACACTTATTCTGTTAATGCATCTTTTGATTAAGTGAACTGTAAATTTCAAAAGTATAAAAATAGGCAAAATGATGAGATATATAACCTCTTACTTGCACAACCAAAACAGCATTTACCAAGCAAACATAAAGCTATTACTAAAATTTTTATTTTAAAGTTACTAATCCAGAAATCCTTTCTGTATAAAATGTTTCTACAACGTGCATTTGTAAGAAAGCAAGAATAATCTGATGAAGAGGAGCCGAATTATGCTAAATTTAAACAACTGTACTGTCAGAAAGCAATTTTGGTTAAAACCTGCATAAAACTGCAAAGATAAAGAACATGGTTTTTGTCACGTTCTGTACCTGAAGATTTGTTGTGGCTCAAGTCAATATTGGAACAAGCCTTATTTTAACAGATGAATGAGTCATACGGAATCATGCCCTTTTGGCAGGCAACAGCAAACCAAGCTGTGTAAATGATGCAGCCAAACTCCAACTTTCAGCATGCAGAAGAGATGGCTGGTAAGAATGAAAACCTCAAATTGAGATCTTTGGGGAAAAACAAATGTTTAAATATATTTCTTAATTAATTTTTAGTTAAAAGTCTAGCTCAGGAATCACTCAGTATCATTATTCCTTCTTAGTTTATTCTGATCGTTTTGAAAATGGAAAACTTAACTTCTTTCCAGGAGAAGTAAATCTGTTACAGTGTTCATTAGTCTTTGTATAAGACAGTAAGTTTGGCAGCTACCTAAATTTTTTGAACAGAGAACAGAAATCAGAGAACAAGTTCAAAAATATTTGCCATTCATATGCCTACTTCTATTTGAATCCATGGAATGATACAGGAAACTAAAGGTTTGAGTCTGGAAATTTGCATGGTTTATTTTGAGAAGTTACTAGGATAGTAAATGTAAATATTCTTTGATAGGTCTTTTATATTCTAATCTCAGAGCACTCTGCAAACATTAAGAAAACAATTATTTCCCCCTGGCATATGATTATTTTTCATGGTTACATGTAGGGAAGATTTGCTTTTACTGGTCCTGCTGCTAGAAAACAACCTTTTGGGGGCTTCGGTTTGTTTGTTTATTTTACTGTATGAGCTTGTGGTAGATCCCTAAAATACATCCCTCTTAATGTAGAATTTTTGCACATGAAAGCAGGGCAGATAAACATTAGACTGACTCTCAAATCAGACTGTTTGTGAGCCGGTGTCTGTGCCAGAGCCAGGCTCCGGCAGAGCTCTGCTGTTTGGGCGCTGGCGCCAGACCAGCCTTGGGAGCGCCGGGGCTGGAGCGCGACGCCCGAGGTACCGGCTCCTCGCGTGCAGCGAGGTAACGGGGCTTGTTTCAGCGGGGCGTGCGCCTCGCTGCTCTACCGCAATCACAGGTTTTGGCGTTCAAACATTGCAGGACGCACTGTACTGATTTATATTGGTTTATTGGCATTTCATAACAATGTAGGGTACTTTCCAAACTCACACATAACTACAGTGAAAAACTGGAAACTTTGGTTTTCAAAAGAAAGGCCTAAGGGAGGTTTGGATTATTTGGAAATGATATTATTTGGCTACTCCTGTAAGAATTATTAGTAGAGAAACAGCTGATCAAAAAATAATTTTAGAAGGAATTTGATAACAGGAGCAGAAATTTCATTCTCAAATCAACAGGATTTGTGCTCCTAAATCATTCGAACACTTTAAAAAAAAAAAAACAATTTATACGCTGCTATCATCACATTTCACAGCTAGAGCCTCGCTGAAATTAGCAGGTAGCACAAACTTCTCAAAATAAATGTTTAACAGTGAGTCACATCACTGAATCGGTGGCACTCATGTCACCTTCTCAAGATAATTTTTCACAACTATAAGAGTTAGAAACAGCTTTTTAAAATTAAACTTGTCTTAGCTTAGCTGTCCATACTGTAACAGTGAGAGACAACAGTAATTGCCCCCCTTTTCCCCCCCAAAAATCAGGAGCCCTGCTAAAATCTCCAAAACTGGTGAAAATAGTTTAAAGCAGTTAGAGCAGTGAATGCTGTGATGGAGAAAGAAGAGAATAGTGAGTACAACATAGGTTCGCATAACTGAGCCCTGTCAAAAATTCCAGCATGGGATGCTCAGCTACATTTTTAAATCACATCATTCACATGTACAAAACTTGTGGTCAAAATACCAATACTTCTATTGAGGGGATAACTTGAGAACAGTCTGTTTTTAGGTTCACTGACAAAGGGAGTTCAAATGCTACACAAACCGACACAGAAGTGCATTTAAAAGTGTTAGAAATCATTTTTTATTTTAATTTTGGGGATGAAACCAGCAATATCTTGATGCTATTTCAGGTTTCACATTTGCAAGTTCTATTTATACACCTTAGATAGCTATAGAAATAATTTGCTTGCTGAAAGGCTTTTTGGAGTATCAGTCCCAAACACAGAATAGAGTTGCAACCTGCCTATATGAAGTATTTCCCAAAATTTGTATTTGGTACTTTGCTATTGAGAAATTGCTTTCTTACATTAACTATAGACCGTGTTGAACAGCTTACAATCACAAGAAAAGCAAGAACAGACATCCTTTGGATAAATACAAGCAGGTAATGTTACATACAATAATGAAGAACAGTTTTTTTTCACCATCTTTTTTTCAAAATGTGGGAAATATAGCAGAACTTGCTTGAAAAAAGCACCTTTTCCACTCATCTTAACCAAAAAATCCCACATAATTTGTCTAGATTCTTTTGATTATTCAGTATTATCTGAGATAGAGGAATGTTCTAGCGCTACATATAGGTATCAATAAAAGGTATTAGAGCTGAGAGGAATATGCTGAACAGGCATCTTGGTCATCTAAATAACACGGCTAGAGAATCACAACACCATTTTGTTTGTTTGTTTGTTTTTTCCCTCCAAAATGCCACAGATACGTTTTTACTAATATTCCTGGATTTGAACATGGTCCCAAGCAAAAACTCTCACCCAAATTAATCCACAGTCTTCAGTTTGTATCTGAAATAGCCTCATGTCATTTAAATCTGAAGGATGCCAAATACCACTGGAATATGATTTTGTTTTGGGGCTGGTTTTAATGCAGAAGAGTTGGGTGGCCCATGTAACATCTGCAAGCACCCCAGCAAAGGCGCTCCCTGTGCAGCTGCTTCTCCTGGGTACATACCTCCTGATACAGAATTTGCTGAGCTCAGGACAGGAATTTTTATGCTTTTAAGGCACGCTCACTGCTTTCCCTTTTCTGCCTGGATTCTGATCAGTTCTGGTAGCACATACAGTAAGAATACCTTTATAGCAGAAAGTAATGACTCAGACATAATTTCTGTGGGGATCACATTTCTCTCCTCCATGTCATCTCTGCTTTCCATTTGTAAATAAATGAATCATGCTATTAAAGCCCCTCTGCAGCTCCTTAAAAATGAAGGGCCAGAAGAAGAAAAAAAATGTATTTCAGTGCAGCAAACTGTACTGCACTGAAGGGGCAGCGCAACACTGAAGGCACCTTTAGAATGGGAAGCGCTACCAAGCAGACTTCCCTTTGGTCTTCCTCCTCAACATGTAATGGCATAAATCAAAAGAATATGCAGCACAGAAATATCCTCTTGTTTTCTTTCAAGAGCTCTTTCTCCTTCCATTGTACTTTGCCCTTAGTGTTCACTTTGGCCACTAATGAAAGAATTATATACTGACAATATAAAAGCAACCAACCTCTGATTTAGGTCTACAAAGAGTTTTCCCGTTAGTGGCATTTTGTTTTGTGACCACCCTAAAAGTTTCTCTAACACATGAAGAAGAGATGTTTGCTGTGAGATTCTGGAAGGAAAACATGACCCTCAGGTATAAAATATTTTTTGCCATAATATTGTAATAAATTGTTGTTTAATCATATTAACGGAGGTCGCTAAAAATTAGGTGTATATAGTCCCATGGTATATGTCCATTTGACCATTCACTTCCTCCCATCTTTTCAACTGGTGGAAGGATAGTTTCAAAGATGCTAAGATCTAATATGTTTCATGAAAACAGGAGTCAAGTAAAAAAGAGTCTTTATTAGTGCTCGCTGCATAGATGCATAACACATTTTCAGACTCCAACCACAAGATCTGATCCATGGGGAAACTATGTTTCCTTAGCTGTACTGCTCACAGAACTTCTTGCTTAATTTTGTAAGCAAGCATTGCTAGGTGGCTTTGTGCAATTTTATTGCATTAGCTTTAATGTTGGCTACTCTGTGCTTTCTGTGGCATTTGGCCAACTTAAAACAAATTTGTAGCTTAATCTCATTTTGACCTGAAAGACAAATTCACAAGGTTTATGAACTGGAATATTTAATTTTAGAAGCTGAAATGTTTGCAAATGCAATGGATTCGAAGGAACTGGAATCATTAATAGGATTTCATTCAAAGATAAGTTTGTTTCATAAATTGACTTGTTTGCATTTAAACTGTGTTTTGGTTTAATCAGTCTGATTTTTCGTACGAATTCTTTCCTGGATAATGCAAACAAGATTGATAGCAGTGTATAACTACTCCACATCTGTCTGGAAAGCTGAGAGGGTTCTAAGAGTTATGGAGTACAACTTCAGTTATTTCTTGCATATTCTATTAAGATTTCCTTCCTAAATTTCCATTGAAGATGACCACAAGCCTTTTCTCTCTTCAGTGAAAGTAATGTTCTGAACTTTACTGTTATTAAGCCTGAATGGCTCACACTCAATAGCATATGGAAGTTATCTAACAGCGATCTTCCCTGACTAATTGCCACTGAGGCTATGCACAGTATTTTAGGTAACGCTGAGTCTAATGTAGCTGTCAATACCACTGCACATCTCCTAAGCTCTACATTTAACAGTGGCATGTCCCTATGTGATGAAAAAATCACTTTTATATTTCCTAGCCTTTAAAACAACGTTATCAGCTTCCTTCAGAGTATCTGTTAAAGGTCTGAAGTTTAGAAAATAACATATAAGATCAGTTAATTTGGGGCGAAAGTGGTCTGTCAAAGTTTTGCAGAACTTAATCAAGAACTTCTTTGGACCAGGTCCTCCCCCTGCAAGTGTGACTGATTGGATGTCCTCCGAGTCTCTCTGCAAATGTTCAGCTTTAACTTGGACCCCAGCTTCTCCAGCATGAGTCCTCAGAAGGTAACGAATTTCTCTGTTTTGTTTTCTAGTATGTATTACTGTATGGTTTTCACTTCTTAGCTTATATGCTGTAACAGTATATCCTTTCTTCTCTGTCTTACTGTGCTTTTGTCCACCCTGATTTAAAATACTCACTATTTTTCCTAGCACAAGAGCATGTAGTAGGCACCCTAAAAGCACAAGCTTATTCAAATTTGTCTTTGCACTTGTATTTGTATATAACTCCATTTTTTTTCTTTCAGAAATAAGAAATCTGCATGCTGCATTTTTCCTCCTTTTAATTCCTGAAGTTTTCTCAATTAACTTTTTCTTCAATACAATATTATAAATCCCATACAGTGAGCTGGCAAGTAATATGCCGTTATGGAAACAGACTTGTTTTTTGTTAGTTTCAACCTCCAGCACTAGAAATGAATTGAAAAGAAAAAGGTTCAGTTGATATTTTCTATGCCTCTGACTACCCCACCAGTTTCTTTGTGTCATCAAGACAGAAAGAGAGACAGACCATGTCATTTCACCTCTCTTTGCCTGAGTAAGAGAATCCTGTAAGGATGCAGACAGTAATATATAATATAGTCGTGTGATCAGCAAATGGTTATGTGAATAAAACAAATGAATCTTCAAAGAGGGCATCACTTGTCCAGCCAAGACATCTGTCTGGATAGTATTTTGTTTCAGGAATGGACCTTGTGAATAAGTTTCCTTACTTCCATGACATGAACTATGCACTGTAAAATTTAAGGCAAAGTTAAAAGCTCTCTGAGTACTGAGATTTTCAGAAGATATTGGCAAGGCAAAAATAAAACCATCAAGGAAGGTGCCTTGCTTAATATTAGGGACATGTACCGAACAAAGAGTAAATACTCTGCCCAGTAAATCTCTTTTAACCATTATGAGCCTCTCAGCTTAGCATTTTCTTTCAATTTGAATTAAAATCTTGTGCCAGGAAGCTGGCCAATACACTAATAGTGGTACCTCATCCTCATGCTGCCTTGCTATTAAAAAAAAAGCAGTATTAGCTGGAGATAGGTACTTTTTTTTTCTCTATATCTGTTAAGTGTATCTGAAACAATCCAAATCCTGGGCATTTATACCAAGGACAAATTTTGAAACTACTGGATCAAGACAGTCACAACTCTTCTGGGATGATTCTGTGAAAAAGGGCAATCCTATTAGAAATTCTTATCATTAGCTCATGCTACTTACATTGTGAAAAACCCCT